CAAAGCACTTGAATACGTAATGAATTTTCACTGTACTTTCAAATTTGTCTCAATTTAACTTACTTTGTTTCTCATACCCTAAAATGGATTAATTACGAGAAATCTTAAAACGTTCCAAATTCTACCTTGACAACCGAACTTTTGTCCGTAATTGTGGCCAAGTGTTTTAAACCGCCTTGCATCACCTAGGTAATTTATATCGAAAATGCTTTGTCCTTTATTTGAACATGCACACATTGTGCGCATTTAGTTGTATCAGACTCGAACAGGAAGACACTATGGCGTTCAGCATGGGCAGAAATATGAACGGTTTTCTCCAGAATCTTTGGGATTTTTGTACCTGAATTGAGAGTCGAGTCCATCCACAGGAAACCTGCTTACTTATACAGAAGTTTAATCGTATGTGTATCTTAACAGGTATTGTACATGACTGGTGTTTCACGCTTTTGTAAAATTATACTTAGAAGCTGTTACAAAGTACTTGTTCGTATTTACTCCATAAAAATACCTTTGAATCTTATTGCAATACTGGTATGCAAGAGAAGATCCAGTACTGTTATACAAGTTCTTCTATAGAAAGTTTGGGATATCGTCTGACGCCACATCAAATTTATACTTATAGTTCGCTAATCTGTTTACGTGTCGTTTTCATTATATTACGTGTGTTTATGAACATGGTTTACGAAATTTTCAGCAAATATTTTTCTGCCCAAATTCTAAATTGGTGTCGGATGCTGAAATGTAAGCTTTTCCAGAAGTTTTTGCGCACAATATTTTTAAAAACACAAAGCTTTGTTCGCACGGCACTCACATTTGTAGAACTGCCATAATTGCGGTCACACGAGAAGTATGAAACCAGACGAACTCAAGCATATAGCTCAGTACGAATTCCCGTGTGAAAACTGAGATGAATTAGTGAGTCGGTCACGTCTCGAGCGAACACAATCTTAGTTGCTCAGCCATGTTTCCCGGTGACCGTTGAAGCATAAAAACTATCTGACAATGTCAATGTGTAATGCTATATGCAAATTTTCCTTATTGTATTGCATTAATCACTAAGACACTATGTTATAAGACGGACATATATACAGTAATATTTTGTACAAAGTTGGCTGTAGCTTCTAAAAGACAAGTAGTTTTAACGAGGTTTTTAAATTGCTGGGTTTGAGTGTAAAGACTAAAGGTCTATATATGCAGCACGCGTCTATATGGCTATGCGGTGAACGCAAATGTAACTCCAAGAAAGTATCTCATTATGTGATAACAGTAACAGCACTAAAAATGTATTTTATGTCAAGTCAGCTTTGATAAATATTGGTTCACTGGCTACAAGTTCGGCACAATGGACTATATGCTAATTTTATGTCTTTTCAGCATTGTTGTATTTTACAAGTGTGACATAATGAAACAAGTATTTTTAAGCGCTCTATCAATATATATTGCTATGAACCGAGTAAACTTTTAAAGTTTTAAAATAAACTTTTAGCTTCTTTTATTTAGTAATACAGATCATCTGAGTATATAGAAAGCTACACATATTTTATGTTGTAAACAATTTATTGTTAATTTAAATGTCACACAAGCTTTTAAAAGCATATTGTCTGTGGTGACATAGAATGATCAAAGTGTAAAATCTCATTAAGATATTTTCCCAAAGTAATATGAAAACGAAATATTGCATTTTTATTGTGTTGATTTAAAGTAATTGAATAAAAAGCTGAGTGAAGGGTTGCCTAGCTCCGTAATTGCTTCAAGAAAACACTATCCTTTTTAATTAAATCACTATGTTGGAGAAAACTCTAGTGGGTGTGTTTTTACTACTGGGACACTCCATGTAGATTACAAGATCGAGATCGACTTGTGGCAAGTCTGCTATCAACCAATCAGATGCATTTAATCTACCCAATTAACCAATCAAATGCGTATTATTAAGCCTGTGAAAGGTAGTGGATGTCATATCTGAACCTGTCTCAAATTGTAAACATTTTGTTAGATGGGGGAGGCTAGGATCTCAGTCATAGAGGCGCAGACCTTCTTGAATTACTGTTACTGCAACCGGAGAAACAGAGGCGGAAGAAATACTACATACTGTAGGAATAGAACTTCTGTTCTGCTAACATCTCAACTCTGCTGCAACGATCCGCCTTAACATGCCTTTCTCTCTTCTAGTGTGAACATGTTACGAATTCCAAGATGGTGCGACGTGCAACCGCTGTCTGAAAAAGATATCGGTGTGATCGCGGTCACAGATATACCAACTGGCAGCAAGTTTGGTCCCTCTCATGATATTCCAAATATTCTAGTCAAGGCGAAAGAGGAGAGAAGAATATCCTATGCTTTAAAAGTAACTACAAAATGTTATGTCCACCTTCCTTGTCCTTCGTTCCCATTTACCTACTGCTCCATAATGTCCCTGACCAGTTCTCCTTCATCTCTTCCGATCACGTGCTATACCATCCAACCGGTTCTCTTTCATCTCTTCAATCCATGTGCTAGACCATCCAACCGGTCCTCCTTCATCTCGTCTTATTACGTACCATTCTCATCTCAGCCCTTCCTAATAGCTTTTCTCCTTGCTTATACTTTCTTGACCATTCTTTCTACTCCAGCTCTTCTTCTAACCTTCTCGCTCGTAACATCTTCTCGGAGTGATATACCGTCTATCTCATCTCAGTCCCAACCCCCTAACAGCTTTTATCCTTGCTTATACTTTCTTAACCATTCTTTCTACTCCAACTTTTCTTCTAACCTTCTCGCTTGTAAGATCTTCTCGGAGTGATATTCCTTGTATCGGTCGTAACATCCTCATCTCAGCCCCCCTAACAGCCTCTCACCTTGCTTCTACATTATTGACCATGCTTTCCTACTCTAGCTCTTCTTCTAATCCTCTTGCCTGTAAGATATTCTCGGAGTGATATTCCTTGTATCCATGACGTAACATTATCTTATCAGTCCTTTCCAATGGTCATTCTCCCTCCTTCCCCAGTACAGGCGGGTAGCCGCCGACTGCTATTATTCAATGATTAATGGACGAGCAAAGAGTTAAATGGAGGGCGGGATAATTATATAATATGAACACAGGATTGGAGTTCTAAGGGATCTATTATGGACCCTCTTTAGCTTATAGATTGAAAAATCCTGCTGATTCTATTAAGGATGTATGCTGTACACTTCTTACGACTCCATTCCTGTTAGGACTAGCTCTTATAAGTTAATTTCGCAAATTTCACATTAAAGTTCACAAACAGAATGAACATAATGGCTTATAAATTGCGGTCCATAAACAGAATGAGTAAATACTATATGATTATCAGGATATATTATATACGTTATGTCCTTGATATATTGATTGAATAAGTGTTTTCAATACTCCATTTATAAAGTATTATAAGATCCATTATCATTTCGTCTGGATTGGCGTATGATTTATGTTCCGTATATCAGATCCGTATTTAGATCTGACATCGATGGAAGACCAAAGGGACTTCTGGCACATATCCCTGCTGCTAAATTTGCATATCTCACAAACTTTCCTAAATATATCCATTTTACTTGTGGAGTTAAAACTCTTACAGGTTAATATTGATACGAGTGATTGCATTACAACGCCATATACATAATGGCCGCATATTTAACACTCATGGTTAGTCAACCGATCTTCCCCTTGCGTTTGGTTTAGGCGCCTTAGAACGGCGTATATCTCAGTAGACAAGCTAGAGAGGACGGAGGGAAATAGTTGTGGGATAGGATATAAGACGATAGGGTAGTTTTAAAGATTTTAGAGTGAAAAACAAGCTAAGATATAGTTCCAGCCACCCGTAGTTTGCAAGCGAATACCTGTCTTTCGCGGTCTCATGTAACTTGTGGCTCGTTGATGTTAGCACAGCCATAGAACGGATCTGTTTTTATTCGCAACTGGTAGTGCTTATGACAAGTTCAATGTCAGCCACTTCTACGCACTTTTACACGGGGAAAAAGAACTTAAAACGCTCCAAAGTTGGAGGGAAATATCCGTGGATAGTCTACAAGCAAACCAGGAGTGGTTCAAAGGATACATTTAGCCTAAAAGCATGGTATACGGCAGAAATTTACTGTCGTTGAAAGCGACCAACACCAGTTTGGGCTATATGATACCTGTAACTGGAGAATGCTGGAGAGCTCTAACTAGACAACTTCAATGCATTTGTGAAGAACTGAAGTAGAGTTTAGTGGAAGCAAGTGGGTGTATAGTTATCATTTGTCATAAAATAACGAGATATGGTGGGCTTTTCTTTGCTGTTCTCTAACCAATGTCAGGGTATAAGGGGTACCTGTATTGGAGAAATGCTGGCAACGTTTTAGTTAGAGAAGATACAAGATTCATCAAGGGGGAAACGTATTGAGTTAACAGAAGGAGGAATTCGTCACTGAAATATTTTGAATGGAATTACTGTGAATGGTATTTGGCCGTATTTCTGGCCGTTTTCAATCCAGTACCAGTAAGATAATGTCTCTACCACCTGCATGCTCGAATTATAAGACAGTTGTCATCTTATACGCACTGTTTTTTCACGAGTGTATCTAGAATAAGGAGTTCATGGCAGAAATATTCCATCGTTTTGAAGAGGAATTGAATGGTATCTGGCCCTATTAATGGCATCATTCGTTGCCCAGTACTAAAAGAAGTATCTTGCTGCCTGCATTTAAAAGAGCGCATCATCTCGAAGTAATACGCACTTTTTACTGCTGTACGTCTGGAATTCCTTGGCGCGCAAATTACACGGAGTGTGGATTTCTTTTCATCCGCCAATGGCAAGATGAGTGTTGTACTTCCTAATAAAAGGTCTTACGTTGCGCACTTTTCAGCTGATCTTGAGATGTATAAGTTCCACCACTAACGGTCTTGCGTTTGGGGATAAGCTATATAATCATACAGTGGAAGAGAGTTCTGTAGATGGAAATTGTGATTTTTACACATTTATTAGACATAACCAGAAGCAGTTGTGAAAAATGCAACTATAGGTCCCTGGCAGGAATTGAACCTGTGATTCCGGTGCAGTGCTCTAACTAACTGAGCTATAGAGGCCAGTTGTCGAGCTCTAACCACAAGTTCATGTATAAATACTAAGGCGACGCCAATGTAAGGTGTATGGGTAAATAGGAAACTTTTCTTCACCCAAATCCCAATAATCATACAGTGCATACTTGGATTTCTAAATAGGACTGCAGGCAATGTTTTCATCATGGAAGAGGTGCAGTAATCTTGAGTGGGGTGGATTTTGACCCAAGTGGGTCTGACCGATGACTTATTTTCATTCTGGATAGGTGGGTTCGATAAGTTATTAGGCCGTGAAGTCTTCGGCGTCACATTGAAGAAAATCGTCTCTCTCTCCTTCGCATCAGTATTTAATATGCCACATGACCACCTTTTGTAACTTGAAATCTTAGTTCTTTAAACTTTTGTTTGCTC